CCCCCCGCTGCGCATTTGGATACCCACAAACCCTGATGGCGGGACAACGGATGTGGTAATATACCGAAAGTCTGCAAAAAACTTCAGACGTAGTCGAATTTGTCCGTCAATTGTCGATTGTACCGTGAACCATACTTGCAGTGGCCACTTCGTGCAACGTTTTTTACACTGGAGGCTGGCTTGGATAAGAGTGTATATATCTTGCCATCAAATATCAATTCACGCGGAATGGTTAACGGAACGGCGGCGGTACACTGGATAATGGAACGACTACGTGATTCATTTCCCCAGACAGAGAGAGAAGGGTAAACCCTGGTACAGGGAATAATAGATTTTAACGTCCTCTTGAGCGTGTTGGTCAGTCAAACCTTCAAAACATGATGCGGCCGCCGCACTGAGGTATCACAATTGGCGCAGACATGAGACACGTTTCAGTTTACGGATAGAGTTCGGCTTACAACACCGCATCACTTCCATCTGTCTTTGCTTCATTGAATCTTTTTTTTACTCGAGCATCTTAATTATATGAGTGTTGATCCCTTATCTTTTTTGGCAATGCAAATAAAAGTCACTCCCAAAGGCACTCCCGAGTTATCACTGGTAGGTTGGCGTTGGCGTCAAAACAGAAAAAATAAACGAGATGCCACCATTGGTGATGAGAACGCAATGATGGATTACGCGTAGAGCGCAGTTTTCAAAATCTCGACAACATTGATACCACAATGGCCCGGTTCGCTTGCGCCCCCTTGCGTTTGCCTGTTTGGGGCAGTACGTCACATTGTAGAACCCAAACTTCGAGACCAAAAACCTCGGAACTGAGATGTCGCTATCTCCATGAAACGGCGTGCGCAGTCATCCTCCGCGGTATCCAGAACACCAAAATCAGGGAACGGTTGATAACCTACCCACCGGCAGGCCCATTCACCAAATAAGGAAAAGAAAAAACAGCTCAATTAGCTCAGTTGGTTTAGAGGGGCGGTGACTAGCCGGGAACCTCGGGTTTGCGGGTGGGAGGCCTAAACAACGTTGCAAGGAGGACGGGGGCTTCGATTCTGAAGGAGGTTCGGAGCCTGAGGAAGGCTGGGAAGGACCTGGATTCGACGGCTGACGGAAAGAGAGGGAGTTGATGACTCCTTAACCCAAAAGTGACTCGGCAAGGAAGGACTGGACCGGGAGAGCTCTCCAACGACTGAAACGACGCCTTTATACGCTACCTACCTTACTAAAAGCGTCCAAGGGCTATGTATTGAGGGTGCATCATGATATTAGGCTCGTTGGCGGGCTCTTGTGAACGTTGGCACGGAAGGAGGAAGGGTGGGGCAGGAAACAAGGATGATGGATGAGTGAGAAGAGTGGTGGGAAACCGTGGCGAACGCGTCACTTGAGTCATGTTATACGTGGCATAATTGTCATATCCTTAATATTATATCTTTACATCTCAGTTTGTTTAGAGCGTGGTGCTAATATAGAGCGAGGAAAAAAAACCTTTCTGTGTAATTATGATACGCCAAGGTCACAGGTTCGATCCCTGTATCAAGCAATCGAAGCGAATGTGTATCACTCGGGGCCTGAGGCTTGGGTGGTTTCCAACTTTTTGGAACTCAATTGACTTGTCAACCTTTTCGAACTCTGAGGCGATCGAGCGGCGAACCAAACCACCGTTTCTCAACAGTAGCCCCGTGTCTCAACTGATTTAGGAGTTACTTGGTCTGAAAAATTAAGTGACATCCCTAGACAATGGGTTTCTGTTTCAATTTCGGCCGATGGCTCCGCCATTGCTGCAGCAGATTCCGCAGGCTCCATCTGGTTCTCAAAGGATTTTGGAAATACATGGAACAAACTTTTCAACGACCTGGTGGCTCAGTGGAACTTTGTTGTAGTCACAGACGATGATTTAGGTGTAATCGCGGGTAATGAAGTAGTTCAAGCGTAGGTTATGGAGGAATCACTATATTGATCACTAGGGAAGAACCACCATGTTCTACCCC